GGCTATTTTTTGATTTACTGTAGAGATGAGGTCTCGCCAAGTTGCCCAGGCGGGTCTCGAACCCGCGGGCTCAGGCAATCCACTCACCTCAGCTTCCTAAAGCGCGGGATTACAGGCTGAGCCACCGAGCCCGGCTTATTATCCCATCTTGTAGCTAAACTTTGATGTAGTTTATCCTAGACTAACCCTGTTTAGAAGCCCTAGTTGTAAGTACTACTTTGGCTGGATTTGCTTTGGCTCCAGGACCTTTTGACTGGCCCTGTTTCTCGCTTACTTCTGTTGGGACAGGCCTTGCATCCTGTGCTGCCAACGGCATCAGTCTGTTTTTTGGGGTGCCATTTGACTCAAATATGAGTAGGATAAAGCACAGACATCTAGTTTGTAGACAGATCAGCCCATTGCTAACTGTGTCTTTTGCCACATGTCGTGCTGTTCCAGGAGTGGCCCTCCTAACCTGGGGCATGAATCCACTCACGGGAGTCTTCCTGTATATCTGCCGTTACACACCACTGAAGAGGATCAGTATATCAACGTCTTCCTGTATATCTGCTGTTACACACCACTGAAGAGGATCAGCATTTCCAACACACGTGTTGGAGCCATGATTGGGGCCATCCCACCGGTCATGGGCTGGACAGCAGCCACTGGCAGCCTCGATGTTGGAGCGTTTCTTCTGGGAGGAATCCTCTATTCCTGGCAGTTTCCTTGTTTCAATGCCCTGAGCTGGGGTCTCCGCAAGGACACTCAACTACTTATTTTTTTTTTTTGAGTCAGAGTCTCATTGTCACCCAGACTGGAGTGCAGTGGTATGCTCATGGCCACCACAGTCTCAACCTGCTGGCTCAGGCAATCCTTCCACCCCAGCCTTCCAAGTAGCTGGAACTGTGGGTGCGCACCACCACACCCGGCTAATTTTTTGATTTATTGTCTAGACGAGGTTTCTCCAAGTTGCCCAGGCTGGTGTCAAACCCCTGGGCTCAGGCATTCCTCTTGCCTCTGCCTCCCAAAGTATAGGAATTACAGGCATGAGCCACTGCAGCTGGCTCTATTTTTTTTTGGCTTCTTGCTGGTGTTTCTCCTGGCATGCTTCTTCATGTGATCCTGTGGGTTCTCCCAGTGCTGCCCTCTCCTTTCCAAAGGCCCTTTCTTTCAACATGCCTGTGCCCCCGGTTGTCTGTATGGAGGCTGTGACTGACAGCTTGACCATTCACTGCACACTTACTGAACATCCACTCTGGAGGGCCAGGGCTGCCTGAAGTTTGAATCCCTGGGAACTGCACGGTGGTTTATGCCTGTAACTTCAGCACTTTGGGAGGCAAAAGTGGGTCACTAGAGCCCAGAAGTTTGAGACCAGCCTGGGCAACATAGTGAGATCCCATCTCTACAAAAAAATAAAATTATTTCAAAAAAAGAAAAATACATGAATCTCTGGTTCAATTTTCCCATCTATATAATGGGGATAATAACAGCACCAATCACTGGGCTCATACCTGTAATTCCAGGACTTTGGGAGGCCGAGGTGGGAGGATTGCTTGAGCCCAGGAGTTCAAGATCAGCCTGAGCAACATAGCAAGACCCCATCTCTTTAAAAAAAAAAATATATATATATATGTATATGTATATAGCTGGACATGGTGGCATGTGTCTATAGTCCCGGCTACTGGGAAGACTAAAGTGGGAGGATTGCTTGAGCCCTGAAGGTTGAGCTTGCAGTGAGCCATAGTGGTGCTGCTGCACTCCAACCTGGGTGACAGAGGGAGACACTGTCTCAAACAAAACAAAAAATAACAGCACCAACCTTGTTGGGATGTTAATGTATGACAAATGAGCTGAACCAGTGTTTCTATCGTGGAAACTGGACTCCATCCCCTTGCCACGGGCTGGGGAGAAGGGACAGCTGTCGCCTGCATTCTCAGGTTCCTTTTTGTCACAGGCACTAAGCTTCTGCTTCTGCTGAGCCTGAGGGACCTGACTGCAACCGTATCCAGGCCTTCCTGCTTCCCAGAGCTCACCATCCATCTGAGGAGACAGATGAGGCACCAGACAATTCTATGTGAGGGGCAAATTTGAAGCAAATACGAGTAGCTCCCTGCCTGCCACAGTGACCAGGACAGCCCCTCCTGCCTCAGACAGGTCAGCGAAGGGGCGCGGCTAAGCCAGGACCAGTCTGGGTGGGAGGGAGCATCCTTTAGATTCCTCTTCATCTAGTTCTCATTCATTTACCTCCATGACTGAACACTTTGATGGACCCCACACAGAAGCCAAAAGCTGTAGGTCCTGGGAGTCCACCTGTGCAGGCGGGAATCCTGGTTGCATCATACTTCCTGTTTGTGTGACCTCAGGCAAGTGAATGCCTTCTCTGTGCCTCACTCTCCTTATCTGTAAAATGGGCTTAAAATAGCACCTCCCTCAGAGTGAGGGATTACCTGAGTTACTATCTGTAAAATGCTTAGAACTGTCTGGCACGTAGTAAGTGCTCGAGACTTGTTAGTGTATAGGTGCTCGGGGCAAAACAGAGAACAGGGTGGGCAGGGTCCCTGTCTACGGACACATTGGGCGGGGCCATGGGAGGAAACACCCGTAGGGAATGCCAGGAGATAGTCGGTACTAAGAAGAAAAATGAGGCAAAAGAAGGGGACAGAGAGGCTTGGGTTGCCGGGTGGCAGAGTGGGCTGAGGGAGGCTTCTCCGAGGCGCTGGCCTTCGAGCAGACACCTTGGTGAGGGGAGGGTAGGACAGCCGTGGGACTGTGCGGTGGGACAGGGAATGAGGATGTTGGGTTTTGTTTTCTTTCTTTTTTTTTTTTTTGAGTTGGAGTCTCACTCTGTCAACCAGACTGGAGTGCAGTGGCATACTCCCGGGCACCGCAGCCTCGACCTGCTGGGCTCCGGCGATCCTTCCGCCTCAGCCTTCCAGGTAGCTGGAATTACAGGCGCACGCTACCACGGCCGGCTAACTTTTTTTGACTTATTGTAGAGATGAGGTCTCGCCAAGTTGCCCGCGGGCTCAGGCAATCCACTCACCTCAGCCTCCCAAAGTCCTGGGATTACAGGCTGAGCCACCAAGCCCAGCTAGGGTTTTGTTTTCAATGTGATGGGAGGGTCCTGGGAGCACGGGAAACTCCTTGGCCCTGCCTGGTCTAGCCATTGGGAAACTGACTTGCTCCATTTCATCTCAGCCACTGCCCTATGAGAAAGGCAAGGCCCCATCATCTCTGCAGAGCAGAAAAGGAAGACACTGAGGAGGTGCAGAACTGGCTCTGGGTGTGGTGCTCATCTAAGGAGTGGGGCAGGCAGCCTGTTCCTGATAACCAGCTCATTTGAATTTTACAAGAGTCAATGCAGCCTGGATTTAAAGGGGAAGTGTTCTTTTCAGAGACTTCTCTGCCTGGCTTTGAGCTCCATATTCAGAAGTCGACTTAGAGCAGCACCCCAAAAACTGGGAGGTTGGGCTGAGTGACTGCTGATTGTGTCCTAGGGGCCCACCATGTTTTGCTGTAGGAACTTTGAGCAACCGCTGTCCCTCTCTGGAGTTTAAAATCTCCACCTGCAAGACATGGGGGCTGACCTCTGAGCTGTGTCCTGTTCTTTGTCTATTGTCTTGTTTCTCACAGGGCGACAGTACCACACTCCCTTGGCTATCGCACCTTCAGAAGAGACCCTGGACCTATGCTTCCAAATATGTAAGAGGCTTCAAGTGGCTTCTGAGTGCTCAAACCATGGCTAGTTCCAGTGGAGACATCTCAGTACAAAATACCAAAGATGGAAGACTTACTACAAAAGACTATATACACAATATCTCATTAGTTTTATTTTATTTATTTTATTTTATTATTTTATTTTTGAGTTGGAGTCTCACTCTGTCACCCAGACTGGAGTGCAGTGGCCGCTCCTGGCCACCGCAGCCTCGACCTGGTGGGCTCCGGTGATCCTTCCGCCTCAGCCTTCCAAGTAGCTGGAACTACAGGCGCGCGCTACCATGCCTGGCTCATTTTTTGATTTATTGTAGAGATGAGGTCTTGCCAAGTTGCCCAGGCAGGTCTCGAACCTGCGGGCTCAGGCAATCCACTCACCTCAGCCTCCCAAAGCGCGGGATTACAGGCTGAGCCACCGGGCCTGGCTTAGTAATTTTAATATTGATTTATGTGTTGAGATGATCACATCTTAGATATATTCATTTAAACACAACATTAACATTCATCTCACCTGTTTCTTTTCACTCTATTATTTGGCTACTAGAAAACTGTAAGTTAGGACGAACGTGGTGGCTCACATCTGTAATCCCAGTACATTGGGAGGCCGAGGAGAGAGGCTTGTTTGAGCTCAGGAATTCAAGACAAGTGTGGGCAACTTGGCAAGACCTTGTCTCTACAATTAAAAAAACCCCCCCAAAACTAGCCACTTGTGGTTGTGCATGCTTTGTAGTCTGGGGAGGCTGAGGTGTAAAGATTGCCTGAGCCTAGGAGATCGAGGCTGTGGTGGCCGTGATCATGACACTGCACTCCAGCCTGGGCAACAGAGTGAGACTCTGACTCAAAAATAAAACAAAACCAATAAAAGTATGCATGTGGCTTGCATTCTGTTGCTACTGGATGGTGTTGCTGTGCAAGGTTAAAAGCCTTCAGGGCCGGGCTTCGTGGCTCAGCCTATAATCCCAGCACTTTGGGAGGCTGAGGCGAGAGGACTGCCTGAGCTCGTGGGTTCGAAACCCACCCGGGCAAGTTGGTGAGGCCTCATCTCTGCAATAAATCAAAAAAATTAGCCGGGTGTGGTAGCGCTTGCCTGTGGTTCCGGCTACTTGGAAGGCTGAGGCAGAAGGCTCACTGGATCCCAGCAGGTTGAGGCTGTGGTGGCCGGGAGTGTGCCACTGCACTCCAGTCTGGGCGACAGAGTGAGATTCCAACTAAAAAAAGAAAGCCTTCAAATCTAATTGAACTAATTCATAATTAACATTGCAGCCCCCTCATCCCTGGAACCCTCCTCCCATGGAGCTCTTGCAGTACTTATCACTTTTCCCAACACTGTGCAATTTACATATCTCTTCTATTTGCTGCATACCATCTTCACTTCCTGGGAGAACATAAACTCCTGCAGGACAGAGCTTCGGCTATTCTGCTCAGTCATGTAGCCCCCAAATGCTACATGTGCCAGGCACATAGTAGGTGCTCAGCAAATGATGGATGGATGAATGAATGTATGTAAGGAAGCATGCAGTTTCCACAGTGGCCAAATATTCAATTTTTCCAGAGAAGTACATTTTCATGTGTGATCTCCAGTCTTTTCTTTTCTTTCTTTCTTTTTTTTTTTTTTGAGTTGGAGACTCACTCTGTCGCCCAGACTGGAGTGCAGTGGCCGCTCCCGGCCACCGCAGCCTCGACCTGCTGGGCTTCGGTGATCCTTCCGCCTCAGCCTTCTGAGTAGCCGGAATTACAGGCATGCGCTACCATGCCCGACTGATTTTTGGATTTATTGTAGAGATGAGTTCTTGCTGCCCAGGCGGGTCTCGAACCTGCAGGCCCAGGCAATCCACTCACCTCAGCCTCCCAAAAGCGCGGGATTACAGGCTGAGCCACTGAGCCCGGCTGGTTTTTTTTTTAATATTCACACAACACTTCTGACTCCAAGTTGTGGGTTTTCCACACCCCAAGCGATTCTCCAGTTCTCTAAACAACAATTGCGTATCCTGTAATTCAATTAAGCTCTGAAAATATCTTCCCGGAATTACCATCAGATCCCGTAAGTTAAGGACCCTACTTCAGATGCCAATCACA